ACCACCTCAGTCTGCTCCTACAACCAGCAAGGTGTACTGAACACCATCTCAGTCTGCTCCTACAACCAGCATGGTGTACTGAACACCATCTCAGTCTGCTCCTACAACCAGCATGGTGTACTGAACACCACCTCAGTCTGCTCCTACAACCAGCATGGTGTACTGAACACCACCTCAGTCTGCTCCTACAACCAGCATGGTATACTGAACACCATCTCAGTCTGCTCCTACAACCAGCAAGGTGTACTGAACACCACCTCAGTCTGCACCTACAACCAGCATGGCATATTGAACACCACCTCAGTCTGCTCCTACAACCAGCAAGGTGTACTGAACACCACCACCTCAGTCTGCTCCTACAACCAGCATGGTGTACTGAACATCACTACCTCAGTCTGCTCCTACAACCAGCAAGGTGTACTGAACACCACCTAGTCTGAACACCACCTCAGTCTGCTCCTACAACCAGCATGGTGTACTGAACACCACCTCAGTCTGCTCCAACAACCAGCAAGGTGTACTGAACACCACCTCAGTCTGCAACCAAGGTGTATTGAACACCACCTCAGTCTGCTCCTACAACCAGCAAGGTGTACTGAACACCACCTCAGTCTGTACAACCAGCTGGCTGAACACCACCTCCTACAACCAGCAAGGTGTACTGAACACCACCTCAGTCTGCTCCTACAACCAGCTACAACCAGCAAGGTGCTACAACCACCACTGAACACCACCTCAGTCTGCTCCTACAACCAGCATGGCATACTGAACACCACCTCGGTCTGCTCCTACAACCAGCAAGGCATACTGAACACCACCTCAGTCTGCTCCTACAACCAGCATGGTGTACTGAACACCACCTCAGTCTGCTCCTACAACCAGCAAGGTGTACTGAACACCACCTCAGTCTGCACCTACAACCAGCAAGGTGTACTGAACACCACCTCAGTCTGCTCCTACAACCAGCAAGGTGTACTGAACACCACCTCGGTCTGCTCCTACAACCAGCAAGGTGTACTGAACACCACCTCAGTCTGCTCCTACAACCAGCAAGGTCTACTGAACGTCAACTCAGTCTGCTCCTACAATCAGCATGGTGTACTGAACACCACCTCAGTCTCCTCCTACAACCAGCAAGGTATACTGAACATCACCTCAGTCTGCTCCTACAACCAGCATGGTGTACTGAACACCACCTCAGTCTCCTCCTACAACCAGCAAGGTATACTGAACATCACCTCAGTCTGCTCCTACAACCAGCATGGTGTACTGAACACCACCTCAGTCTCCTCCTACAACCAGCAAGGTGTACTGAACACCACCTCAGTCTGCTCCTACAACCAGCAAGGTGTACTTAACACCACCTCAGTCTGCTCCTACAACCAGCAAGGTGTACTTAACACCACCTCAGTCTGCTCCTACAACCAGCAAGGTGTACTGGAGTCTATCTCAGTCTACTACTATAAGGTGTACTAGCCATATTTACCAAATCCTTATATATATGACATGTAGATTTATTTGGCAAAACATCACTGTTCAAACAACAATTTTCACTACAATATACTTAAAACACATAAAAAAGTATTTGTGTTAGAATTAAACTAAGGGTTGCCCTGAGGTCACTCAGGTATTTTGTGGCATTATTTGAATGTAAGGACCACCATGTTGGTTTGGAACGCCACAACAAGGACCTCGTCCCATTACCTTCCTAATCACAAGGGGCGGTGGAGTAGCCAAGTGGTTAAAGCGTTTGCACATCATGTAGAAGTCTCGGGTTCAATTTCCCACATGGCTACAATGTGTGAAGCCCATTTCTGGTGCACCCAACAGTGATATTGCTGGAATATTGCTAAAAGCGTCGTAAACCTAAAATCACTCACTCACTCCTTATAACAACCTCAAGTTATGTGCGGCCTTCCTTCAAAAACTGAATTTATGCAGGGGTGGAAATAAGTTTAAAATTGCTAGTGTACACCGGTACAGTGGCACATGTAAAGTCACTTGCCCTGATTATTTTCCCACTATACCAACCGTTTTCTTGCTGATTTTTTAAATAAACAACATAATAAACATTGGAAAGTCAACTGGACACCGGTACAGTGTGATACACAAATTTGCTTGCCCGACAGAAAAAAACACTGGACTCGGACGTCGGGCAATTGGTTATTTCCACCCCTGTTATGTAAGTCTCATATCCAACATTGTATGTAGGTTATCTGGGTTCAAAGACAAGTCACTGAACTAACATTTACATTACCTCATCTATCAACTTTGAATGTTTCGAGGGGGAGAGTCAACTGACACAGTCGAGGTTGTAGTTTGAACAAGTGCCCTCCTACGTTGTTGCGTACAGCGGAGCCATGAGTACCATCCTACCACGGAGACTTGGATTAGAAAATGTCACCAGCACTCTGCTGATTGTTGTACGAGACAAGATCTTGTATTAGCACCATGACTTGGTTGATTACGTTTAATCGTATCCGGTCAGCACAAGTAGCTGGTTGTAATAAACCCCGGGATTGTCTGATCAGACTCAGTTATTTATAAGTTGCCATGATATGGGGGGAATATTGAGACAAAATCCACCAAGACAAGTACCTTGGGTAACCTTGATAAACTTGACCATGTGCACTTTCACCTGTACCCTCATTCGTAGCTTCAGACCCGTGAAGATTGGGGTTACAATTGGTCTTCAGTGAGTGAGTGAGTGAGTTAATATTTAACATCACATCGGCAATATGGTCTTCAGTAACCCATGCTTGTCGTTAAGAGGCAACTAACATGATCGGGTGGTCAGGCTCGCTGACTTGGCTGACACATGTCATCGTATCCCAACTGCATAGATAGATGCTCATGATGTTGATCACTGGATTGTCTGGTCCAGACTCGATTATTTACAGACGGCCGCCATATAGCTGGAATATTGCTGAGTGCGGCGTTAAACAACAACCAACCAATCTTGTAGCTTCTCATTGCAATATGGCTGAAATATTGCTCACTCACTCACTGTCTTGTAGCCAAGATGAGTCATAATATTGTGTGTTGCTATGCAAGATAATATTTACACCTCTTAAAATATGAATACACAAAGCCATTTAGAAAGTGGTCAGACATAAATTATGTTATACTTGGGATTACACTTTCCCAGTAAAGTACTGATATTAAACCTTTTAGGTTTAGTCCCATACGGGCTTTGAACCCACACTATCAAAGTAAGGCACCTAGTCCCCAGCACACAAAACACACAAACATATGTTACCTCTTAAAACAGTGTTTCATATATGTCACAGTGAGTGAGTGAGTATGGTCTTACGCCACTTTCAGCAATATTCCAGCAATATCACAGCGGGGAACACCAGAAATGGGCTTCGCACCCATGTGGGGCTTCAAACCCGGGTCTTTGGCATGACGAGCTAACACTTTAACCACTAGGCTACCCCACCACCCATATGTCACAGTGTATCAGCTTAATTATCCCACGATCAGGAGATCCTGATACAGCTAAGGGGAGCAACTCTCTTCACAGTGAATTGTGACTCAAATGAAGGACTGAGCATTGCCATTATGAAAAAATATCCATGTTGGGGACAAACTCGCCAATCACATCAGTTTACAGATAAAATCAAATTAGATAAAGAAAATAAAATTCTCCCTCCCAACCCATGTCACATTGAACAAAATGAAATATGACTCATAATGCTTCTGTTATTAATAAGTTTAATACTAGTCAACCTCAATATTTGATAGCACATACATGCACCATGTGACGTCGATGATAATAAAAAAAATGGAAGTGACAGCTTCATTACGTACCAATATCCAAGGTTTGTATCATTAACGACCAGCCTGTGTATAACAAATATATCTATAGGGAAGAAATATCATCCTGGAATATATACGAATCAAAATGCCAAGTGGATATCTTGGAAACCATTATCAAGGAAGCCATTCTTACACAAACACCACATATTTTATCAAAATGGCAGGTTATCTGGGATATTGCGTTTCAGTCATAATGTTATATGTTGTACATAAATATAGTTTCTTAATGATAGTTCACATTATATTGCACAATTAAGCATAATGCAACTCTCCCTCTTGGGGACAGAGCTTTATTGGGATAATTTTTACTTGATCGAAAGCTACATTTTGATCCTTTCCGGGGAAGGTTTTTAATTTGTTTTTTTCTGCGTTAGTGCTCACAGTAACATGTTTCAATCTAAATGATAAAATAATCAAAACTAATTATGCACATCCTACTTAATACACTTCCAAGTTTTAAAAAATTGCATGTGTACTGTCTTAATATAATAATATATAAATTATCATGCATTTGTAGAGCATCACGTCAAGATGCTCGGTGACGCAAAGGACAAATTATGTTCAAAGCTGACTGACTGACTGAGTTTAGTTTTACGCCGCTTTTAGCAATCTTCCAGCAATATCATGGCGGGGGACACCAGAAATGGGCTTCACACATTGTACCCATGTGGGGATTCGAACCCAGGCCTTCGGCGTGACGAGCGAACACTTTAACCACTAGGCTACCCCACCGACCAAGACATGATTAGATTAGTCCAGTGAGGCATTAGAAGGTTAACATATGACCATTCCACCGGTTACCACTTACCCATTAACTGGGTAAACAAAGGCACTTTTGAACAAACTCACTTGCCTATTTAGGTGAGACCATGTGTCTCACATGTGTTTCATTGTGGGGCAGGACTCAACTCCTAGAAACTCTCAGGAGTCAATTTGCCAGACATGTTCACCCATTCAAGGACTCTTCATGATCAACATTGCTTAACTAAAATGATTTGTGATCTGGACACAAGATCACTCCCCATCATAAAGGAAATACAAATTGACAATAACTCAAGCCTGTTTTTCATCCCTGTACCTTGAATTCTGTACAAGAAAGTCAGCAAATATCTGTTTTAAAAAGAAAATGACATTAGTTAACATATTTTTGGGGGGCACAATATCAACATATTTCTTACCGGGTAAATCGCCTGTCTATATCTGATGGGGTGGAGGTGCGAGAGCTAGGGGTGGAGTACTGGTTGAGCCCCGGGGTGGTGAACAGTGGGCCTGGACACAGACTGGTCATCTTGGCGGTCACTGGTCACAGCATGTATGGTCGATGTCTACTTCACCTGCAAACAAAAAAGGCATCGTGAGATACTGTATTTTTGTAATACTGGATATTTGTATTGTCTGTTTTACAAAACATTTTAAAATTTGTTTAGCTTGTATTCATATCAGTATGTCTAGAGTTATAGAATAATGGTATACAATAAGGAAAAAAGATGAAAAACAGATGGAATTTGATGGAAATTGTTTCAACACCTTCAAGCGGTGAGGTAAAAATCAGTTAAAATTTAACCTTACTGAATACTGGTAGATCGATGCTCATGCTGTTGATCACTGGATTGTCTATTCCAGACTTGATTATTTACAGATCACAACCATATTGCTGAATCATTGCTGAGTGCGGTGTTAAACAGCAAAAAAAACCCCAAAGCAAAACCAAACCAGAATACTGTATCTTGATAGGTATCCAGCCCAAACCTACAACCCAGTATGTACACTAGGCTTATTGAAGCATATGACTTGTACTTATACAATGTTTTTAACATACAATTGGTCAAAGAGTCATCATTTTTAGCTGATAGATATTTAGTTTTGTGTAGCTTGTATACATATCCCTAAGTTTATTGTTATTAGGTTTAGAATCATATTACATTGTTAATGTAACAAGCAGGGAAAATAAAAGATAAAAAAAAAATTAAAAGTGGGAGAAAAGAGGTGGACTTTGATGAAGAATGTTACAACACCTACGGACCCGTGCAAAAAGTATTCGGACACTTGACATAATTTCCATAGACTTACATGTTATTTCAGTGTAGCATAAATAATTTCCATGAAGTGAGTTTTGGATGGATCTATGTAAAAGTTGACAGGCAAATTAGATATCATCTCTGCTCTGCGCACATAATTTCGGTTCAATTTTCCAAGCACTATTTAACTAATGACATCACATTTATCAACTTACGTATGGTGTGATTCCAAAATGCACTATCCCATAGGCCGCCATGTTAAAGGAGTTCACGGCACTGTACATATGTTGATTAAATTGTTGCCATTCGATAAATAAGCGACGGAAAATTAAACAGAAATTATGTGATTGTAGGTAAGATGATTCGTCACAAATGTGCAAAATTTGACTTGGATCTTATGAAAATTAAATTCATGAAAATTATTTATGCTACACTAAATTAATTAACATGTTAGTCTATGGAAATTACGTCAAGTCTCCGATTACTTTTTGCGGACTCTGTAGCTGCAAAGTAGTGGTTTTTAATACACCACACCTCACATTACCTAATGTTCATATATACAGATGAAGATAATAGCTATTGTTGTTCCCTACAATATCAGGTACATAGTATACCTGCAATACCACAGCACTGGACACCAGAGATGGGCTTCACACATAGTACCTATGTGGAATCAAACCCGGGTCTTTGGCATGACGAGTGAACACTTTAACCAGTAAGCTACCCTTCAGGTACATAGAATCTGACCAAACATCCATGTTGCACGTGAATCACATCTGTCACTATGTACACAGATGCCAAGAACAGTTTCTTTTGAAAAATTAATCCCTGTCACCCGGCTATGACAAGGGTCATGTAGGGTCATGTGCACAGGAAGCATGACTTGCATAACGAAAAAATAATTCCAGTGTTACAGTAGTTGAACAACATGACACCTACATGGCAATCCATTATTCCATGTGATTGTCATGATGTCGTGTTGGGAGACAAGGGTATAGCTACACTCCAGGAACTAGAGCAGTCACGCTAGACTTGTCCCGTCTAGGTCACAGACTACATCAATAAACATGGAGGTCGATAACAGCTTTGTTTTCTATGTCACCGGGGCATGCTGAACAGATCCTGATCACGTACACTCTATAGTCTGTTTGCAGTGAAAACGTACCGATGAATGTCACTTTAAACCAAAAAGTAAAACAAATAAAGTGAAATTAAGACTGCGAATCCTCATGATTTTACCTTGCCAATTGAACATTTCAATCTCAGAATTTTATTCGACTTAGGATAAAAGTTGTTTAACAAACCATCATAGTTTCACATGGCTATTATTGGTTTGTATTACAAGGGGGTATGCACATCAAATGAAACACCGAAAACGACAAGGGTTGTTATAAGTTAACGCTCTTCACGTACCAACGTGCATTTGTTTCACTGTTCCAGTTACTGCGCTTACCCCCTTGTAATACAAACCAGTAATAGCAATTTGTATGGGTGGGTGAGGGAGTGAGTGAGTGAGTGGGTGAGTGGGTGAGTGAGTGAGTGGGTGAGAGGGTGAGTGAGTGAGTGAGTGTAGTTTTACGTCACACTCAGCAATATTCCAGCTGTATGGCTGCAGTCTGGAAATAATCAGGTCTGGATCAAACAATCCACTGATCAACAGCATGAGCATCGATCTAAGAGATTGGGATACCATAACATGTGCCTGACCACCCGATCCCGTTAGTTGCCTCTAACGACAAGCATGGGTAACTGAAGGTCAATTCATTCACCACATGACTTATGACTTCATATGACATATTGGGAAATGGCTTAGCCTAGTTGTCACTCCGAAGACCTGGGTTAGATTCCCAACATGGGTACAATGTGTGGAGCCCATTTTCTGGGGTCCCCACCATTAGTCCAGGAGGAGAATCTCAAAAGAGGCCTAGAAATAGGATTTCACAGCTTCCCCAGTACTGATTTTGTTTGACAGTATTTTCAGTTAGTATGATGTCTTGGGCTCATGAAATGGCTCGTAATACTCTCAGATTGTGGTATCAGGGTTTTTTAACAGGCCATTATATGTGGTAGGGGTCTGCGATGATATTGCTGTCATAGTGCAGCATAAACCCTTTCTCACGACATATTCTGTATACCAACACATTTCGCCCCTGGAGACCCGCCGCAAGACACATGATCTCACAGGATACATGACATCCAAATTTATTTGATGCTGTGCGATTTCATACGATGACATGAATCTATTCTCATGACATGCACATGGCAGACATTCAACAGGGTGGTAACAGCTCCATATTGGCTACAAAGGAAGACTCAAAGCATATCCTTCTTACGATAACAATAAACTATTCCCAGTAAATTTTGGAGTCAATTTAGGTTGTTGATAAACTAAAAGTGTCAGCATGTCATTGCAATACCCTGTTTATCTTATTAATCCTAAAACAGAATATTTTCTCTGATGACATTTTTTATCTTCCCATCTGCCATTCAAATATTTCATTTTTAAATGCAAGGTACAAGAATTAAAGAGCTAAGCTTTGAACTCTTGCAAAGCGTGCTTCACATAAAATTAAAATAGAACAACATCCTCACAATATTTAAAAATACACCAGCAGATTTCTTATATAAAAAAAATTATACCTTTATGAGATTCTCGAGAGGCATTTAGAAGTTGGTGAATATAAAAGACGAGTATATGGATGGCAACTTCTTGTTTATTGTATAACACGTTTCTGGGCTACTTCTTGCCTCTTCTTGAGGTCATCAATCACCTGAAGAAGGGGCAAGAAGTATCCCAGAAACGTTGTGTGATACAATAAAGGAGAAGTTGCCATCCATATACTCGTCTTATTTATACCTTTCTGCTCATTTAAATATAAGTGTTATTCAGGTCTCTTCACTATCAATTAAAAAATATTTTTAAAAAAGCATCCAACACATAAACACTCAATCTTTTCTAATCATATGTTACAGAAACTTCTAATTGATGAATGTTTACACAAACAACTGAATATATGGTGTAATTACAAGCATTGTGCTGATGTGAATGTGTTGACAATCAATTATGTATTGGACACAATGTTCATTTAATAACTGGCAGCAGGAAGTAGTTTACATTCAACACAACAACCAAACCATCCAATCAATGAAGAAGTCAGTCTGCAACCAACTGACGTGAGAATTAACAGTGACAAACGTCTGTCATAGTGGAAGACAATTTATGGCCTGATTGTAATTAAAGGACAGAACAGATTCACCAAACTACACAAAATTAATGACTGTCACAATTCTCAGATTAGGCCAGACCAATTTTATTTATTGTTTTTCGGACCCGCAAGAATTTTGAAGAATAAGATAAAAAATATCAATTAATTTTCAATGCTCAAAAAATAAAATCCTGATGTTTATTGGCCAAAAATGTAAACTTACCAAAAAAATTGTTTTTGATTGTTTTTTGCCCCATATACACTTAATACATTGTCAAAAGTAAAATACTTTTAGTATTTAAAAGGAATATTACTTTGACTGGTGACACAAATCTGTAAAACAAGAAATAAAATTGGTCTGGCCCTAAGGAAAGATGCAATGGAAGAAAAACAACAACAGAATATTACTCTTGTAAAAACTTTCCAAGAAATCAATAACCCTGACAATGCCCAACCCACATGGGACAAAAACGTTAATAACCGATTGTCATTGAAAAATACAATGTATAACAAACTGGTTGTAGGAAAGCATCAGCTGAAAAAGACCAGATCGATGGCAAATTCAATCTCAAGTCACAGAGATGACAAACAATCAAGGTAATTTTTATAGATGAGTGTAAGAAACTGCCCAGCAACCACAACAGAAATATTGAACACAGCCATCACTGACACGCATCCATTCAGTCGCAAGAAATGCAGGAGCATACCTCGGATCAATAACACAAACAAAAGTGACTGACGAAGAAGACACACAGATACCCACAATGCAATGGTTGTCAATCAGCAGTCTGAGCACACTCGGCGCAGTGATGACTTAGCATAACATCACTGCCACAGGCTAATTTGTATATCACGTGACCAGACTTTTCTCTTGTTTGTAAACAAACGCGCATATTCATAATAAGAAAAGACTGGCCTTACGCAAGCTTTTCGGTGCGCTCTTCACAATGTTTTACATTGTTACATATATATCCTTCCACAATTGCGACAGTAACGTTTATGACAGTACATATTTAGATATCAAACAAGCTGCATCGTTTGCTCTCCGTCGGCTTCGATGACAGCACGTGGAGCCGTACAACCTATGTAAACAAAGGATCGCTACACAAA